AGCTGGAGACACATGTTGAGATCCTATATCTAACGGCTTACCTTTTTATGTTTAGATTCCTTCTAATAACTCTTGAGAAACATTTGATTCATTTCTATAAACTACAATCTCACGTTCAATTCGTTTCTCGTTTTTCCAACAGCTTATTTATATATATAACAAAAACAAGATCTCGATACTGAGTATTAATTGAGTGGAATGAGAAATGACCGTTTCAGCTCAAAGCCTTAATGGCTGGTTACCTTGAAAGGAAACCACTACACACAAAGGACAACAAACACAGCAACAACATGTTGCCACGTTGAGAAATGACCAGGTTCTTATTAAATGAAGACGTTCTATTCTCTTAACGCGTTGCTAATGATAATTTATCACCTGAGACATATCGTTAGATTTTTCTTGTGTTAAGTGCGTTAACTTGTATAAATAAGGCGGCGCTAATTAGTAAGGAGTGGGAGGGAGGAGGTTTATATACTTGAAGTTTTATTTGACTAAGAAGGATTTATGAACGCTTGCAAAAGTCAACTCATTTAAATTATGCCAAATAAGGAGAAAGAAGCTGACCGAGCAGTATAGTACGTTAAGCAGGGTTTACACGGTGCAACTTGTGTTTGGGTGCTTGATTTTTTTTACAAACAAAGCTTGACATTGCTTCATGCTGTGGATTGTACACGACATCCCATCAGTTGCAACTAAACATTTAACAATCTGGCTCTGCAAGGAACTTGGGAATTTAAAGTGGATTCTAGCTTAAGAAAGACATGAACGTTGGCGAAGTATCAGTTTCTTTAAAGTATGCCAAATTAGAAGAAAGTGCTACACTTGTAATTTACTGCAAACATACAATTTGTGTTGGTGTTAACAAATCGGACATATCCGGTTTTTGATATGGCGATATCACAGAAGTTCACGCCAATATCATCAAATTGTCTGACTGTCGGCGATAGGGTAGTATATTCTCAGTAACTTTACACATAAATTGTGGAGTGACAATCAAGTTGCGGAAAATGAAAAATGCAAAACTCCCCAAATTTCACTTTTGGGAGCTTCAAAAAGTAAAAACTTTTGTACGTGAATCGTATTTCAAGTCACCCTGAAGCACAACAATTTTGACAAAGAGAACTGAATGACATTTTAAACAATGAACGAAACTCAAAAAATATGTTCTCCAAACTTTAATTTTGTGTATTTGTTGAGCAAATGCCAATTTGCACCCCTTGCTTCCTTTTATGTTATTTAGAGGTTATGTGGCATATGTGACACGAGAAGACTTGGTAACGTTGGTCTGCCTGCATCTTATCTGCCCAGTAATTCTTCCCTTATAGGTATAACTGGGAAGGCAGTGCTAGAATTTTGTTGAAACCTTAGTACAAAGATACTACGATGCCAAGGGCAAAAAAACGTTGTAAAGATTTGGGTTTCAGGAGTCAGTCTAGTGGCGGAGAATATTTTTAGAACAATCCAGTTTGTTTTTCCATGTTTCTGATCCTTCCTGGGCATGATCATTTTTGGCAGAGTCAAAATGTTTAGCCCGAAACTACTTTTTTCGACATTCTCAACTTTCTGGACTTTAGGACGTAGTCAAAAACCATTTTAGGAAGCCCAAAATTATTTAAATGAGGTATATCTCTTATATTACCATGAATTACTCTTAGCATGTAGGTACTTGTCTGTAGAACGTGAGATAGATGGCTTGAGTCTATCCCCTATAAGGCATGATCAAACTGAGTTGGTTATGGGAGCACAACCACCTCCCCTTGATGACGTTCATGACTCTATATAATCTGCCAGTCTGCTCTGAATAATTATAATTATGTATCACACGAAAACACGATTTTTGCCCAAAAATATCATCACTGACAACGTAAAGCAGCATAAAAATTGTATCCGTACAGAGTATGCGATTATAAAGTCATCATGCGGTCATTTCGGTCCTGACAAAATGACCACGGCGTTTACTCCGATAATTTCTCATCATTAAGTGCGTCTTAAGGGGCACCACGACTTAATACCGACCATTTTCAATATCATCATCGTCTTGGTAATTCGCGTGTTGCAATTTGCTGTGATTATGCGGAGAAAAGCATGGTGTGATGGTTTATAATACTTCGACACGGTCAACTTTTTCAGAATACTCCTCCAGTGTCTAAATAATTGGTGCACCGATTAGGTCTTATTTCATTTAATGGAGATTTTTTTCATTATTGATGTAGAAAGTGAACGGTTTTGATAAGCAAAGAACGCAAAGAAATTGTTAATAGGCTTAAAAGGGAAGCAAATGTATGGGCGATCTGTTTGCTCTGCGTCTCTGTAGCAATGAAAGACTGCATACAACGTTGGTTCTGCTCTAGAAACCATCGGTGTCTTGGAAACAGACAAACGGCACGGGTATCACGTATCTTGAAAAGCGACGTTATATCGATTTTTTTGACATCATACTGTTTTTAATTTGACATTATGTAGGTTCTTCTACAAGATGCTAACTCAGCACTTAGTTGTACGTGTTGCAAAAACGTCATGAGGCTTCAGTTATCAATGTTTGGCTCTGCTTCAGAGATGGCGTTACTGGAGGTCTAAAGCTGTAAGTTGTATCTGTTGATAATTCCATTGGATTCTTGTCTCAAATTCACTTAATTGAGATTTAAAGCTAGAAATTAGTATCACATCCACTTTTTCTTATCCATTCTGGAAATTACATATGCAAATTTTCTGAATATCAAAAATTAGAGATATAAGAAATAATTATATTCAATGTAAAGAGAAGAAAATTGATATAACATACTATGTGGTTTTGGTAATTAGCTACTGAGGCATAAGATGTTTTCACTAAAAAATCCCCTAATATCGGCAACCCCTCAGTTTTGAGATTTGGAGTGCCGAATTTTGTATAAAAAAATGGTGAATATCATTTATCCAAAGACTACGGCTGTGTATTCAACATGGTGGAGATATGTTCGAGCAACTTTTGTAGATTGGGTCTTGAGTAGTGAAAATTCAAAAAAGAAACAAATAAGTTAAAAGGTGTGTAAGTTTTTTTTTATACAAAATTCAGCACGGTTTTTCTGGACAAGACACCTTACATCTCAGTAGCTAATTACCAAAAACCCATAGTATGTTATATCAGTCTCCATCTTTTGAATTGGTTTATCCAAACATGCAATAAAATTCCATTTAAAAATCACAACTTTGATATGTAGGTGAAAATTGGGACACCCTGTATAATTGCCAATATTTTAGGAATGTGCCCTCAAATGTCATGTATAACATGCCATAAATAGTTCCCAAAATGTATTTGTTTATGAGTAATATTCCGTCCACACATAGATGGGCCACCCTGTATATCAAGCCTTAATGAAGACGCACGTATGGTATATTAGCATGGGGTACAGCATGCCTAGTGTATATAAATGACATAGAAGTTTTACAGAGAACTGTCTTAAAAACTAAACTACTTATAATCGGAAAATCAAAATTATATTCAACAATTCATTTATATATCGAAACAAAATTATTTGATATCAAGCAACTTTATTTTTCACACACTATCAGTGTTGTCAAATTTCGAGCAAAAACGGTCCCTAAGCCTATTTGGCTCCAAAATTATATGAACACGTATCCAAAGACTTAAAAAAGTTTCGAAATACGTAATATAATTTTAAAAAGAAATTGAAAGACAACAGATTATTGAATTTCTAACAAATATTCCTTAAAAACTATCATCCTCTACATATACATAGCTCTTTGAAATAAATTTCGCTTAACTTTTTTGTTTTGATTTTGGAACACATTCCAACATACAACTAATCCATGTACAGGCACTGTCCTTTTGTGGATTGAAATATTTATTTACTCATTCCATGTTGTTATTGTTCTTATATAATGGAGTAAATAAATGTTTACTACCTAAATGGTTCTCCATGCGAAATTGTAGTGAAATGAATGCATGTCTCATCAAATGTTGAAATGGCTTGAAGCTCGTGTCACAAATGTGTATGTTCGTACAACAACAAGCTGAATTGAGATGTGGAAGAGTTGATTGTAGAGCCAAAGATATGTATAATTATGATATGACATTGTTTCTCTTCAGCATCGACACATGACACGATGCGACAACAAGATGTAATTCATAATCTTCGGCAATTCATATAGTGAATCAGTAAATTCAAAAGTAGTTTAGAAAAAATGTCCATTGGATTCTGGTCTATTTCAGATATCATGTTTATTATACACTCAGTAAAGAAATACGTCAATTTTGGCAGAAACTAACTGAAGCTTTGACAATTATGCAACATTATACAATAATTATCAAGATATCTTAAAAACATGTAAAACTCAAAAGTGAGTAGGGGAGAAGGGGGCAAGTTGTTACAAAATTAGTATAGTTATTTATTTGGGCAAAAGTTGTTCTTTTATATGAAAACTAAAATTGGAGAAAGGTACCACATATATCTGTACATGTATTATCAATTTTATTTTATAATTTTTTAAATTTTTTGTACTTGGTAATTATAAGTTCAAGTAACTTTGTAAACTATAAAAACTTGCCCCTCTGTAGGGCAAATTGTTACAGTCTAAGGGGTAAGATGATACGAGAAAAAAAACTCAAAAACTTCAAAAAACAGTTTTGATAAATGGTCTTGGAAGGAACCTTTATTTAGCAACACAAAAAACATTCGGAACATTACATAAAGTAAAATAAAAAAAATTAAATGAAACTTTTGTAAAAACAAAAACCTTAAGAAACTTGTAAAGGAAAGTTAAACTAATCACTATCGGACAAGCAGTGAATACAAACATAAAAATAGATATCTTTGCCACAACCTACAAGCGCCCACCCTTTACAGACAATCCACTGGATCCACTCTTCATTTCTAGAATGTGAAAATGGAGTTAAACATATCAGACATGCCGATTCTTCATCCTCTTCTGAGCTTGTAGAATCTATTTTTTAAGGGTCTTTTCAGCGCTCTGTTTCTTACATTTAGACTTTGCTCCACTTGTTAATTCACCTGATATGTTTCTTTTAGTTGCTCCCACATTTTTTTTTTCTTTGTCTTGTCCTTTCTTCCTCCTCTAAAGCAGATTTAATCGGAGTGTCTGTCAAAATTGCGGAAACTCTTTTCTTCCGACCTACTTTTGATTTTCTTGGTATGGCTTTTGGGTAAGGTTTTAATTCTCGGGGCGTTATATGAGTACCAGTAGATAGTAAATCAACAGATTTATCGAACGATAAGCTGCAAGCTGAACTCGTAGAAGGTTGTGGGGTTCTTTGGTTTTCCCTATTAAATTCTGGTTCAGGACTTATTTCCATTGCTATGTTAATATTTTCTGGCTTTGGCCTGTCTGTTACTTCTGAGGGTAAGAATTCATCATCTTGAAATATTTGTCTGTTGAAAGGTCAAATTCCAGTCACCTTAAATCCTTTTTGTATATTAAGAGGCGTAACAGCAAGGGAAAATGAATCTCTTAGAACGGTAGGTATATCATAGATGTTCATTACTTTACCTGGATTAGATCTTAACCATGCATCTGCAGCACTATTGAAATATCTTTTAAGTGGGCCAAATACAGTGCGATCAAGGGGCTGCAGCTTGTGAGATGTGTGGGGCGGGAAACTTAAAAGAACAACTCCATTAACTTTGCAAAAGTTCAACAGAGGGATAGATAAATGTGATTTATGATTATCTAAGACCATTAAAACTGGTTTCTCTTTGCTACAGCGGACAAATTGGACAAAATGTTTCATAAACAACAAACAATTTTCACATGTCATCCACCCAGAGGAATGGGATGCACCGAGACAACCAGGAGGCCCATTTGCTACCATGCATCCTTGAATTTTTTCCGTGGAAATATTATGAATGGAGGTACGAAATTGCCATTTGCGTTAACCGCTAATGCCAAGGTAACAAGTTGACCCCTTTCTCCAGAAGTGATAGCGCCTACCTGCTTAGTTCCCCTTTTTGCTATGATTTTTGTGGGCCTTTGGACCGTGGTAAGTCCAGTCTCGTCCATATTATAGACATCTTGAAGCTGGAATTTATATTTATCATAAACCTTGCCAAGATTATTGAAAAACTGCGACACATTATGGCGATTTAACGCAGTTGCTCTGCCCATACTAGTAGCTTCGGATGTTCTGACAGATAAAGTTTGATGCCTCTTCAGAAATCCATATAACCAATCCTTGGAAGCTATTTCTTTCACCTTCCAATTTTCTGGAACAGATATGTTGTTTGCTATCGCAAAATGAGATGCAAGTTTGCGCAAATCAGAAGTTGTAAGACCGTAATAAATTTTAGCGGAATACTCTGTGTATTTCGCAAGTTCCTGTTCTTCGGCATCGTTAAATATTTTTCTGTGCGTAGCGTAGCCAACTAAGCACTTGCTTCTGTTTTCAACGTTTAGGGCTAACTTTTTTTTCATATAGCGGTGTAACGTCATAAAATTAACCCCGTAGCGAGTAGCAGCATCTCTAATTGATATTTTTTCGTGTAATATGGCCTGCATGGCACTTTCATATTGTTCAATTGGAATAATACCTCTTGCAGTTTTCTTCTTGTACGTTCGCACCATGTTCAAGAACCTGAAAACGACAAAAACAATTTTATTGTGTAAATTTTAGTGGAATGGAAAATTATAGTACTTGCATTAAAATATATGGGGCAAGTTGTTACAGTAACAACCTGCCCCCAAATTATTGTAACAACTTGCCCCGCGTGCACAAAATGAGGTTAGGTCAATGTTTTTTGGTAAGTATTGTGAATCAGGTAAAGACAACGGCATGCAAATAAAGAGAAAAATATAGGCTCCAGAACGGTATAATATACATATTTATACTACTTACCAATTTTTCACAAACGGAAACAAAAGCGAACAGACAACGGTACAGTTTTATAACTGAAACAACATTATACACGAAAACACCATGAAGGACGCTACACATGAGTATAACTGTTAGTGTACAGATGGCGGGTCGGCAGAGCCAATCTCTTGTACATTTTCAGGCAACCCGTCGTACTTGCTGCGCTTTAAAATGATTATGTAACAACTTGCCCTCGTAACAACTTGCCCCCTTCTCCCCTACAACTAAAACATCTTTGTGTACATATAATGTCCGCCATATTGGATCCGCCATTTTGATTTGCGGTGAATAGACACTGAATTCGTTATCAGCGACCCCTACAACATACAAAATTTAATTTCGTGAACAATCGAAACATATTTGCAAAAATGTCCGCCATCTTAATCTTTGACATATATATATATACCATATTTCTGGTCAGCGACCTCGAAATCATATTTTAACGAAAACATCATTTTCACTGTCCGAAGTAAAATTTATTTACACTAATTTATAACACTTTTTACGACATACTCGTATTTATAACCATGTCGACTGGACTACGTTGACACGTCAATCGCGGTTCGTTGACTGCCATTCTTCCACTGTCGTCACGCTTATATATTTTGAGATCGACGAATCCAGTTCTTCAGAAACTCTCCTGAACATTCACGCAATATTTCCCGAATGCTCCCGATGGCATCCGAGGACCTTCTCGATCGCTCACGCACGTGAACGCAGTCAATCTCGAAGCTTCGCACGCTGCGATACATGATAGTTGTAATTCTAGTTGTAATTTTGCAGAGGTATCTTTTCGCCCAGTTCGAGTACCTTACAATAAGAATGAAGTTTTTGGTGAAATTTAGTGAATATTTAATTTTTACTTTTGGCCATGCTTTAGGGCTATTGAACCACTGAGCGCCGGTTGGCTGAATAATTGCGATTGACATTCAAATTCCTAGGCTTAAACACGATCAGAACTTCAAACCGCTCCATCATAATCCTTCAGCGATTTGAAAACGGAGCGACAACTGCATTAGAACACAGATCCACCCCGACCGGAGTCGGTCCCCGGAGCATTACGCAACATCCCGTTTCCGGTTTAATTAAAACGCTACGGCCGAACCCACCCCAGATTAGAAATAATAATGGAAAGTTCCTCCAGAAATGATCCCTTCTGATCCGATATCGGAAGGAGCGTTCACTGGCAACGGCCGTTGATGGATGAGCGCTGTCGGATTGTTATTGCTGATCGATCTCCGTTATCATGGGGGGCTGTTCGAGAGTGACAACCACTGGACAAGGGATAACGGAAGGGAGGACTGTTAGGGTGACATTTTGTAACATATACAATGCATAAAACGATAGTCATAAATACAAGTTGTTATTTATATAACAAGGTACAAAATTATATAATTTAGATAAGGAAAGTGCCTAAAGCACAATTTTGTATGAAGTGATTTACAAAACGATGATAGTGTCTTCATATGACTGCAGTCAATTATTTTATTAATTATTTTTTCAAGACTCGAATGGAAAATTCATAAGTCATAAGTGGTGAGGATTAAGGATATTAAATTAAAACTTAAGGCTGAGTGACATAGAACACTTAACGTCAGAAAAATTGTATTGGCCTTATGGTTTTGGCAATTAAGCAGCACAAAATAAATAGGTCAAGAAGGCTTGAAATTGACGATGATGCTCCATAAAAAATTGTCCCTGAACATGCTAAACAGCCTTTAGGCCAGTAGGGAGAAATGAAAGTTAGAGTTAATTCCCTAAAATGGACTGAAACCACAAACAACGGGTGGGCAGGGGAAATCAAACACGATATTTGGTTATTTAGGATAGATCCTATCAAGGTTAATTAGTACAATCTATAAGCTGAACGAAATCACTAAGACAATCTGGAAAAGTTATGCGTCTTACCTTTCTCCAAATACGTGCTTGATGATGTATTGCTATTGGCATTTTATGGGAACTATTTCCGTCAGATGAAATCAGAAAAAATACGGTTTTTTCGACTTCGATTGCTATATAGCATAGCATTTCCTAAATTCATGACGTTGCTGTACCGCTGTCAATGTCTTTGTCTATAACCTTATCTATCGAAATATAGAGAGTATAAAAAGCCCATACGGATTAGCGACTATCGAAAAACAATATCTGAAACCTTTCCAGCGTTTTCAAGATTCAAACAACACTAAGAATAGACTGCACGGACAAAAAAGCAATCAGTTTAAGCAACTGCATATGAGGTATAGAGTCGATCTACTAGACATATATTATAACGTTTCTTTGTTTTTAGTTTTGTTTACATAACGTCGTACAATTTATTTTAGTAATAATTGCTAAAACAGTCGAAAAATCAGCCTTTCTTAGAAAGAAGCCAGTTACGGAAATTTATAATAAACGAAATGGTATCAATGGCACTTCATAAAACACTAAACGCGGCATAAGTTGTATCCTCTGAGAAAAAAGTTAGCTACGAACATGTACAACAAAAAAATTGAATGGATCGAGTTAGTCAAACAGGCTCATTATGAAATTCGCATTAAAAGATGAACAAGATTTCAACATTTTTGATCATACTAACAGAGCTATTCTATCATCTAATTTAGTTAACATGCTGGGGATGATATTTGATTGTCGGATGTCGTTGTTGCTATGGCTTGAAATTCTTAGCAAAGCAGTGCAGTAAACGAATTTTGAAAACTCTATACTATGCCACTGTCAACTGTCATATCCGGTATGGTATTCTCAATTGGGGAAGTAGTTCACTAACTGTAAGAGTTCTCCTGCTGCAAAAATATGCCATTAGAATTATTGATAACCTTGGTTGGCGCCAATCCTGTAGAGAATCCTTTAGAACACTAAAGATGTTGACTGTTATAGGTATTTACATTTATGAGTTGGCTTTGCTTGTTTTCAAAAATAAGCGCGAATTTGAAGTCATCAAACACCAGCATGGATATCCAACTAGGTCTAAGCTGCTCTTAATCCCGCCGAGGCATCGAACTACGGCATACCAAAAAACATGCAGGTATATGGGATGTAAGATTTTTAATAAGCTCAATGATGATATTAGGAATTAATCAAATATAGCTGTTTTCAAAAGAAAACTAAAACTTTTTTTGATAGACAAATGTTTCTACACCTTGGAGGAGTTTTTTGTTCAGACCTATACTTTTTCCACTCGTCACCACTATTTTTATGACCTTTTCATTTGTTATAGAATTTTCTGTTCAATTCAACAATGAAATAAATTATTATTATTATTATTAATTAAAATTTGCATATCTCCTGTACAATGTTGGGGCTTTAGGATATGGCTTCCTGAGAAAATATTATGCTAACCCCTTGCTCCTAAAAAAGTTTTGGAGGCAGGTACGCTTTTACCACTTGTCGATGGGTGACCATCCTCCTTCCCCTGAAAAAATTCGTATGATGAGTGAAATATGTCAAAAAGCATAAAATTGCCCCGGCTGGAGGCGTATAAGTACACCTCCAGCAACGTAAAAATATTGAGATAAACCCCCCCCAACCCTTGCAACCCCGCACCACAATTTTCAACCTATAAACGAATTTTCAAAACCTACCAGGATCTACTATAACGTCAAAAAACCAAATTTGAGAGATTTTTATTTTTTCACTTTTGTTGCTTCTAGCTCCGTCGTCACTGGATCGATTTTAAAAAACCATAAAGGTACTTCGTCCTTGACATAGTATTAGGTAACCCAAAATCCGATTGGTAATTTCCAAGTTATAGCGGCCTCAAGGATTAGCGAACAGACAGACATACAGACCGACAGAGTGTGTGATATGCATGTCGTACATATAACGTCCAGAAAACATATCTCATTTTTCAAATTTTTCGCGATTCCAATACTTCCACGCCTGTGACATAAGGTGCAAAATGGGTCGCTTATTCAAAAAACCCAATGACATCGAACTAACTTGGCAGGTTCCCTTAAAGATAACATATATCGTATCTATATCTCAAACTATGAGAAATATGCTTTACATTTCTGTTTCAATGGCAAAGGGCAATGTGTGTGAATATCATAACAGGTGCGTAATATTAATAACGCTTTTCAATAGTAGAACGCCATTTACTGATACCATAAATGCCAGTAATGTTATTAAGCCACTGAAATTTCTGCCACTTCAGGTGAAATATACGCCGCACGCCTATATATCCGTCAGTTTCTTCCAAAAACATGGCCTTCTTGGGGATGTACGCGTACTTATTCGACAGCTTACTGCTGTCATTGGGTGGTCGCACACATCAGTCGAAACTCGAGATTTGTGGAGATAAACACAATCTTAATTGACGTGTCTTAAATTTGCCAGCACTTTAACTTAACGTATATATTATACTATTATATCCAACAGATGCGTAGTATTACCGAAACCAGAAGCTTCCTAATAACAGAACGTACAAACGCAAACAAAAATTCCCATGATACATCAACCCCTTTCCCTATTCCAATATTCAATACATCCACCACCACTTCCCGAATCCACCGGCGCCGTTCCAACCCCAAGTTTTTTTTTCGAGCCGGTGCGCTTGCCTGCGCGAAGCAGAAAAATGGCAGTCGAAACCCATTCCTTGAAGCTTCGAGACACCATTAGTAAACGACAATTTGATGGATGCCTTGGACCGGCCCCGTTGCATCAGGGGATTTCTACATTTCGGCTTTTTTCCGCGTCGAGGGAACAAAGACATCAACATGATGGAT